ATAATAAACTCTTAAGTTTAAACAGTTGTGTTGAAAGTCCTCTGAAAGGAGGAGAGAAATGGTTTCAAACGTTCAAGAAGAAACCAAAACGCTGCCAGAAATCTCATTTACTTTACTAATATCACATTAACAAGACTAATCTTAGCTATTGTAATCACAACAAATAAGAAAAAAAATGACTGCTATAAACAGTGGCTGATGGTTTGCACAAGCAGTAAAAGCACGGTGATGGCGGCATCATGGCACGGTCTGGTGTACTATTGCTGCATATTTATCAAGCATTTCAGGCAATAAGAAAACCATTTTATTCTCTTTTCTGCCTGTGTAATTTTATCCACAGTTCAATATATAAATAAGTTTAAAAAATATATATTCATTTATAACACTTTCCAGCAGAATTTGAAGAGTTTAAAATTTGATCATTTAAACATAGCCTAGGATTTTCCACATTTGTTAAATCTCATGTTATGGTTCTAAATTTTAATGTCTTTTATTGGGATTTACTCTGCTGGACCAACACACAGTAGTGCATAGTTACCACTTCAATTTACCTCATGAAGTTAAAGTGAAGTAGTAAATGGACTGAATTCATACAGCAAGTTTTAGAGAATAGAATAGAAATATCCTTTATTGACCCATAACGGGGAAATTTCTTTGCAACAGCAGCAGAGCAAACAAAGACAGAATATAAGAACTCGTCTCAACAACCACTCAAAATGTTTCACATTGGAGCTACAGTCAAAAAACGCTCAGGTAATCATACTTTGATATGCATATTAATTGGTCATTTGAGGTTAAGTGCCTTGCACATTAACATGTGGCAGAAGATTACTGTCAACTAATTGTCTTTCATTCATGAAGTTGTCAACTTCTCTACCGACTGAATTTCTGTCTTATGTTGGTTTGTTTGTTGTTGTTTTTACATATATTTGGCCCGCTTCACTTTAAACCCTAAATAAAATCAAGAACCTTCCCTAAGTGACGTTATTAGTAAACAGAGTCAACCTGTGTGTGTTTCTGTGTCCCCCAAAAAACTTCTGTAAATACTACGGAGGATTTTCTTATTTTTTCTTTTGCGTTCTCTCGCAGTAACGTACTGATCAGTTCATGCGACGTAATTTGATACTGAAAGTCTTTCTTGCGGTAGCCGGCATACTTTCTGCTATAACATAAGGTTTTTGTAAACTTTATATCCATGTATGTTAATGTCTCATTTGTGAGATATCTGGAGTTTAATATCTTTTTTTTAGGACAGAAATACACCACAAACCTATGTGCAAAATGCAAAAGAAAAACAGATGAAACATGGGCTTTCCATCTCTTTCATTTCTTCTAAGATGTAAACAGAAACTTTCCGCAAGTAGGAAAGAAAGGGGGGAAAAAAATACATATATTTGGACGATTTCTGAGTTATTTTCACGGGGTAATAAAGTCATGTGATGGTTTTTATTGTGTTTTTTTAAAGGGCCGATTTCATGTGCATTTCCATCTCAGCCTTACACAAACCGGCATAAACATGCATTGAATAAATCGATTTTCAATCAGCTTTTTTGCACCAAGGAGTTAAAAATATATAAACACGTTTTCACAGAGGCTCTCTGAATGTGTATGTATTTAAAATTTAAAATACGTTTGTGACTGTATCCAAAAAAGACCAGGGTGCATTTGGTCATTGTGAGGAAATGCAAATCATTTTGTCCCCGTATCCCTAGGGGGCTCCGTTAAAAAAAACAAAAACAGATCGTACTGTTCACTTTACAGTTATGGGCTATTAAATTTAGTCTTGGTTTGTTTCATGAACGCTTCAGAAAAAATACTTTTGAAGTTTGGGGTTGTAACGTGACAAAATTTGAACAGATTGATGAATTACAAATTCTTTACAAAACACCGTAGAAAGTCGATAATCTGTCATTCTGCTTTTGTTATTCTGTCTGAAATCCCAATAAAGCTCATAAAACTGCATAAGAACACGTCAAATCACCGGAAAATGGTTAATATTTGCTGCTGTGTTGCTTTTAGATTATTTTCTCTCACAAAGTGGGTCAAACTAAAAGGCCATTTGTGTTTAGACTTGCTGCAGAGCAAATGGCCAGAGAGGTGGCAGAGTCCCGTCTGCGCCTTCAGGAAGATCAGTTGGCTCATCTTCAGGAAGAGCTGAGGCGGGTTTCAGAGAACCTGCCCCAGTCGGACTCATTCCAGTCGGTACGCACGCTCCACAGCAACACCCGCTAACGCAAAGCAGCGCTTCCCTCCGACAGGCTGACCTGCAGCCGCTCTCTCTGCAGGACGTGACGGACCTGCAGGCCCAGTTGGCCGAAGCCACCGTGTTATACCAGCGGCAGGAGGAGGTGCTCCACCAGCGGGAGCGAGAGCTGACGGCGCTGAAGGGGGCGCTGAAGGAGGAGGTGGAGTGCCACGACAAAGAGATGGAGGCGCTGAGGGAGCAGTTCAGCCAGGACATGAAGAACCTCCGGAAAACCATGGAGGAGTTCACGCAGGTGACTGTCGGACAAATTACAAGATGTTGAAAATCCCAAAAGATGCTGTGCTGCAGGTATTCAATGAAGTGCGTTAATCAATTAGTCATTTCAGCAGCAAGGCAGCTCAAAATGCTTTGCATCATGAAAACACAAAAATAAAATGTAAACAATTGAAGCATTTAGTCAAGTGCAAACGTTAAATTTTTCATTATGTTTCAAAGGAAACTCTAAATAGGTGGCCGTTTATTGTAGACCTAAAGGCACTCAGTGTTTCGGCTGTTTTGCAGTTTTCTGGAAGCTTGTTCCAGATTTGCGGTGCATAGGAGCTGAATGCTGCTTCTCCATGTTTGGCTCTGGTTCTTTGTTTCGCAGAGCAGACCAGAACCAGAACCAGAAGACCTGAGAGGTTCTGGAAGGCTGATATTTAATGTATTGTGGTGCTAAGCCGTTCAGTGATTTATAAACTAACAACAGTATTTTAAAGCTACGTGGAGCCAGTGTAGGGACTTTGCAACAAAACCGATCAGACGAGTGGTAACATCATAATGCAGGGTTCTGTAACCCCACTCCTAGAGTGCCACAGCTCTGTGACTTTTAGACACACCTGAATCCAAAGGCTGAGTCTTCGGCGTGGTCTCTAACCATTCATTTGATCCAGGTTTATTGGAGCAGGGAAGAGTAACACTGGAGGATTTGATCTGAAACCCCTAATCTGTGTACATGACGTCTCTGCATGGCAAAGCCTTCAAAAATCTGTGACAGCCTGGTGTGTAGAACCAGAACCAAATACGGAGAAGCAGCATTCACCTGTTTAGAGTTGAAACATTAATCAATATTCTTATGTGTAACAAGATGTAATACTTAAATTGTTGGCTGTTTGCTCTGTGTTTTTATAATCTAAAGCACTTTGAACTGCCTTGTTGCTGAAATGTGCTTTACAAATAAAATTAGATTTTAGAAAGATGATGTTGGATTTTAGTTTAGTACAAGTAGAGGAGCATAAGTATTAAGATGACACCATCATCCTAAATTACATTCTAATTGTATTTATTCACAGTTTTATTGATTGTGTTCTTCACTGTAACTTTTTTAGCATTTCTGGGTAAGTGTCTGATCTCTCTTTTTTTTTCTTTTTTTTTTAGGCTGTGAGCGAAACGCAAAGCTATAAAAAGCATCTAGCATTCATTAGCGCGTGGTGGGAAGATTTCTGCTCCTATTTTGTGCTTAAAAATAGTAAATTGTGTCTGAAAAGCTTCGGCGCCACAATCCCAATTAATAATTAACAGATTTCTGATCTGTTATCATCACAGCAACGCGCGCGTCGTTGTAAAGCGGCGTCAGATCGTCTTTGTGCACAGGTGCAGCGGTGAGGGACAACCGTCAGGTTTCACCTGTCAGGCGTTTAATGACTTATTAAGGGAACATTAGCTCTGGCTTTGATGCTGCATCTGCATCCAGGCTTTTTCCTTGTCATTCTGTTTAATGCATCAGTTCGCTCTCAGCATTCAAACCGCGGATATGTGGGTCTCTTGAGGTCAGAGCGAGAGAGAGAGAGACAGAGAGGGGGAAGAAAACTTTGCAAGTTCTGATTGAGATGGAAAACTTTCTCTTTTAAAACTGTCTGTTTCCGTCGGTGAGGTATTTTTGGAGAACTGCAGTTTGGGGTGCGGAGGGAACTTGAAGAAAATGTGCAGGAATAGATTAAAATTGAGATCCTTGAAAAAAGTAACATGTTAAAAAAAAGCAATGAGAGTGCAGGATGGAAAAAACTGCAGCCTGACTGCAAGAAGTTTTTTTTTTTTTTTTGATGAGCTGATTTACTTGGCAGTAGCAGGATAAAAGTAGTCGGATTCCTGTTTACGATGACAGCACAACACATTTTATTTAATTTATTATTTGCTATTCCTCTTGTAGAGCGTACTAATAAAGCTTCAACTCGACGCATCCCAATAAAAACTGCCTCCAATTAGTCTGACATGATTTTTCTGCACATGTTGTTTGTTTTTATGCGATCAGTCGCAGGAGCAGATCGAGGAGGAGCGCGAGAAGGTGAACGCCTCCCTGTTGACGCTGGAGGAGGAGCTGGAGAGCAGCAGGGAGCAGGGGGAGCAGTGGAGGACGGAGCTGGAGGCCGCCACGCAGAAACTGCACAGCACCAGAGAGGAGTCAGTGTCTCTGAAGCAAAATAAGATCCTGATCAATGACGGCAGGAAACGGATATTTAACGTCTGAGCACAAGAGACCGATTCTTACTTTGTTTTTGGACGTTTTGTAAAAAATGTTCCGACGGAAATCATCACTTATGGTCTTGGAATATTTCTACAAAATCTTTAAAACAACCACCAGATTTTAAATTCAGATTCAAACATCAGAAAAAACATGTTTTTTAAGTCGTCCAAGCCTTTTAAAATCATAATTATCATTATTATAATTTGTTTTTTTTTTTTGCTATGTTTTAGCTTTCTGATTTAATTTTTAATTTGGCAGGAACCGAGAACAGCCCTGCAGCCGAACGTGAGAGAGAAAATCTGTCCTGCTGTTTGGGTTTGAGTAGATTTAGCTCGTTTTTAATCAGAACCTGTGATTTACCCCCTGAAAATCCCATCGGATTATAATCACCCTCCACACTTGGTACACCTGGGTAAAATGTGTAAAAAGCCTTAAAGTGGTGTTATTATCCCTCACTGGGGAAAAAAAATAAATAAAAATACAAGCTCTCACGTCCAGTAAGAGGAAAACACCAATAAATACTTCTTTGTTTTTATAACAGACTCACTGGTTCTGCAGGTTTTTGCATAAAAACCAGAACGAAAGTTGTCTTTTCATCACCCGAGTGTTTTCTATTGGAATTAGATCTAGAAACTGACGTGGCCGTGGAGGAAGGTTGTTTTTGTGTCTGCTGACCTACTTGTGTGTTGATTTGTGGGTCATTATTTCCCTGAAAGATTCAGTCATGACCCATTTCTCATTTCTGTCTGAGCTGCTCCGGTACGTCAAATAGTCTGAATTTACCTTCCACTCAAAAAAAAGTTGCCTTTTGGGGAGAAACTGGCCCATACCATCACAGATACTTTGCCGTACTCAAGAGTGGATTTTAGGTGCTTTTCCTCTCATTTCAAACCAAATGCACCTGGAGCTACTGATGCTGAAAAGTTCAATCTGACCCAAAGGAACTGCTTCAGTTCATTACAATCAGTTCATGTCGTTCCTGAAATGCTCGCTTGTCTTTCTGCATATTAACATCCCATATTTAACTTTTTGTTGACACTGATCCACTTTAAGAAAGTAAATGACAAATTTAAAAACATGTTTTAGTCAAAGTTAATAATATAATAATATTTCTTCCTTCCACTTAATTTTAGATAAAGTTTGGACTTTACCTAAAACTTTTACTGTGGGAAATTTTTATTTTGGGGCTTTTTAAGCATCTTTACTAGGGTTGATGGTATGTGTGAAGAGCGCCGAGTCCGTATTGATTATTAGATCAGTGAACCGTTACTAACAGTAGAAAAACCCAATCATTGTGTTTTAGAAAGAATTCTGCTTTCAATCACAACTTTTATAAATTATTTTTACACATGATCAATCATATTTTATTTGAATCCATTCTTTCTAATATTTCATTGATTTAAAGTAAATGTGTGATGCATCTTAGTTTATGATAAAATAATGTGAGGATAAACATTGGATGTGGTTCCTTTGACGTTGGTTTAAGGTTTGATTTTATTTCAATCAGCCACAACATTAATATATTGAACATTCATCTGTTTCTCTTTAGCTTCTGGCGAGTCCCACATGTGACATTCGTGTTGGTTTGTTCTCTGTGTTTCTTTTATTGGTGGAAACAAATATGTTTACAGCAGATTGTCCTTTAAAAATACATCCGGTAAAATGTTAGGTTTTTTTCTGAACAGTGACGACCCACCACAATGTTTGAGTGGGAGGTGGACACCAGAATAGGACTAGAGATAGACAATAAATCAATTACAATAAATATATCAAATATTCACTGAAATGGTCCAGAACCGCATGGCATTCTGGGAGATGTAGGCAGAGGAAAGACTTTAGCCCCTCAACCTTTCATGGCTAGCTTAGCAAGGTTGGTGGAATCAACTGACTCGCTCACTCTTTGGTTACCTAGCAACAACAGTTTCAAGTTCCCCACCAACTGTGGTTGCCTGGCAACAACCCGTTGAGTAACTGACAGCAGCAGTTTGAGGTTTTATCACTGTGCCTCATAACTGCTTAAAAATATTTTTAACAAACATAATGAAGTGAAAACTGTGTATAAAACAGATTTAGTTTAGTTTTGTAGTATTTAAGATATTTAAAACAAAAAACTAATCAATAACTATTGATATCAACTGATATGAAAAGCTTATATTGTGAAAAGTTTTTCAGCCACATCATCATGAGACATTAAAAAATTCTAAATTCATATCTGAAGTTTAATCTCATCGTTTCCTGCTGCCAGGTTTGGTTCATATTTCAGTGGTTTAATGTTTTGGCTGATTAATAGAAGTTAATTCTGTTTGTTTAAACAGCATCATGGGATGCAAGTTGTAAAAAAAAAATAACGCGTTGCTTTTTGTCCGCAGACTAAAAAAGTCTCGTTTGGAGAAGGAAAAAGTTGAGGCCTCCCTGAAGGACCTTCAGAACAAAAAGCCTGTGTCTGACGATGCAAACGTTTTAAAAGAGGTAATTCAGACCGCAATCATGGAGCTAAATGATGATTGTGTGGGTGAACTTTTGTTGTTTTTAAAGTAAACTTTTTCAAATCTCCCATCAGCTCAACAATAATTGTAGCTTTTCTCTTCAAATCTCTCACATAAAACTCATTGCTATGCGCCTTGGCATCTTCCTCTTGACTCAAACGCATTATCTGTCTCTGATTACTTATCCTAAGGAGCTCCGGCGTTGCCATGACGATCTAAAGCGTACCCGCGCCGATCTGGAGAGACAAAGGGGCGAGGCGGAGGAGAAAGCCGGGGCACTCGAAGCCCTGAAGAAGGCAAGCGGAGAGAAGGAGGCCGAGCTTCTGTCGGAGATTAGCAAGCTGAAGGAGCAATTTCTGAAAGACAAGGGCGAGCTGGAAAAGGCCCTCGAGATGGCGAAGGAGGTGAAACATCATCTGAACAAATGAGCTTGATGACACCATTTTGAGGATGGAAAAAAAAAGAGATTATTTTTCTCATCTACTGTGCAAAACAGAAAAGAAAGAAGTGCCAAAAATTACAGAAAACATGCATAAGAAGCCATTTGACTTATTTTCTTTACCCTTGTTTCTCACTCTTTCCTGCAGTCATCTATTGCATCAGCAGGGAAGACTGTGGTGGACGGCGGCACCAACGAGGAGCTGCAGCAGGAAAACATTCGCCTCACAGACAGGCTGGCCCGCATGGTACTTCACAACCACGAAACAATAAGACATGCATGCAGAATTATGTAAACACAAATACTACAGGAAACAAAAGGACGTCCTCCTACATGGGCTCTATTTTCATCCCAGAAAAATGAAGTAGATCCTATCCGGAGAAAACTGAGCTGAGAAAATAATCCTTCTGCGAGGAATTTGCATAAGATGCGTGTTATTGTCCGTGTTTACTACAAAAGCATCACGTTGCATTTGTTCAGCATGCCTTAATCCTGTTGTTTGAGAATAAGTTGGAATATACGGAGCCTTGCTTGCTTGCTTGCCTTGCTGAACCGTTCAGTCCCCTTGGTATTTTTCAATATTACAACCAAAACGTTTGGTTTATTTCATTGTGATTTTACGCAATGGACCAACACAAAGTAGCTTGTATTTGTAAAGTGGAAGGAAAATGATTCATGGCTGCCACAACTCAGTACATCAAGAGACCAAAGGTTGTTTTTTTTTACTCATTCCTCTTTGCAAAATAGACTGAATGGAGGCCATTTTGAAACCGACATTTTCAAGAATTGCCACATATTCTAAATTTGATTTGGGTCTGGACTTTGACTGGTCCATTCCAATACCCACACATGAGTTCATCTAAACCATTTAATCGAATCTCTGGCTGGATGTTTAGATTTTTCCGCCTGGAAGGTGAACCTTCATTCCAGTCTCGAGTCTTTTTCAGTGTGTTATAGGTTTTCTTTCTGGATTGTGCATTACCACAGCATGATGCTCCCTCTGCCATGTTTCTTGGTAAAAATAGTGAGTTCAGATTGATGCAGTTAATTTGGATCTGCTACATGCTACTGCATTTAGCAGATTGAATGGAAAGTTAAATTTTGGTGTCATCTGAATCAGTTTCCTTCCACTTTGCACTTTTTGTTGGTCTACCACAAAAAAAAAACACAACGAAATACATTAAATTAGTGTTTTTGCGAGAACAAGTAAACAACGAAAAAGGGTGTGACTAACTTTGTAAAGTATCACTTGCAGTCGTAAGTAGCTACACATTACAAATGTGCAGAAAACTTTGTTGATATTCCACTAATGTAAAAAAAAATAATTTTTGCAATTGCAGTGTTTCCATTAAAAAGGAAAAACATGCCGCGCCATTATCCTCTTTACTACCCGTTGTCTCCTTCGTCTTTTCCACCAGTAGTAACATCCAGTTGTTGATCGCATGACTCGTGTTATGCAAAAAAAAGTGTTTCCACTCAGTTTTAAACTATTATACCTTCATCATCCTAGCGCAAAAACTTTTTATTGAAAAATATGATTTTTTTTTTAATTGCCATGATTACAAACGCAGCTATTGATTTAGCTGTAACTTTAGAGTGTGCATATTTTTTTAAAGTGTAATAAATACATGTTTTTATTTCCTAAAACGCCATCTGTAAATCCATCTGCCTCAAGTGTTTTGTTTTCTTGTCTAGCAATCAAGGCTTCAATCCAGCGTGCCGCGCAGCTCGGATGCTGAGGAGGAGCTGGAAGCCCTGGAAGACGAGAACCACTCCCTGAAGACTCAGCTGGAGGAGGCCAAGAGAGGCGCCACCCGGCTGAGCAAAGAGCGGGACGACCTCACCCGGCGGCTGGAGGAACGAGACCTGGAGAGGGAGGCGCTACGACGGGGCAAAAGCGACCTGGAGGAGCAGAAACGGCTGCTGGACCGATCTCTTGAGAAGATTAACAAGGAGGTCAGCGTGTGTTGGTTAAAGGGAACTGAAAAGTTCACATTTTGCGAAATTTTAATCTTCCATTTGGGTTTCTACTTCTTATAAAAACAATCCAAGCGCTTAAAAAAAAAAAAAACACCCAGCTATTTTTTGGCAATAAGTTAAAGTTTGTTTTGGTGTCTGGAAAATGAACCATTTCAAAAACCTCCCCATTGTTAAGTCACAATCGACGGGCACTGTGCCATTACCATGAGGACCCAAGTGGAGCTCCAGCATGTTTGCTCAGCTAGTTTTACCTCTGTGTACAATGGCTGCTGGAAAAGACAAGTGTTTTGTTGTTGATTTACCATCCAGAAACCACTTGCAGAATTCTTGCTGGTTGTGCAGGAGGTTCCACTTCTGCTTTTCAAAGATGTACAGTTGTATAATTGCACATCTGTTTGCAGCCATTTTCATGTGTGAGAGTAAATGTTGAGTAGGGAGGCATTATTTGGATTTTGAAGTGGCAAGAGGCCCCAAAACATCTCATTCTGAAAGGAGATCTAAATACGCAGAACTGATGAGACTAAAATCTCATTATCCAAGAACGATTTTGTGCAAAAAAAATTTAACACCTATCCTAACCTGTTCAAAGAAGCCCAATAAGTCACCTCTAAGTGTTTTTAGCCATCAGTGCCTTAATTTCTCCTCCTGCTCTCAGATGGAGTTGATGATGGGAGATTCTCGTCAGTCGGTGGCCACCCTGCAGACGCAGCTGGATGAATTCAGGGAGCGATCGAGGAAAGACCTGCTGGAGGCGCAGCGAAACAGCAAAGACCGGCTGGCTGAGCTTCAAAGGGCTCAGAATAACCTGAAGGCCCAGCAGGAAGAGGTCAGGAACATGTTTCAGCAGAAATAAATAAAAAAAAAACCACACTGTGCATATATTCTTTATATACTGAAGGAATGTCCTTTTGCAGGATGTCTTTCACTTCTATTTTGTAGTTATTTTTATTTTGAATTTTTGTGATTTTCCTATAATTATGTTGAATGTGTGGACCCCAGGGAACTGCAACTAATAGGAATCCAAATAAAAGAAAGACAGTTTTTCTTAGATCATAGAATATAAGAATCCTGCAAGATTTCACAAATGACAAGACTTTGTTTTGCTTTTCCAGGTTTCTCGTCTTAAGAAGGAGCTGTTGACCTGCAGCGAGGAGAGAGACAGCGCTCAGCTGGAGAGAGATCTCCTGAACAACCGGCTGAAACACTTGGAGAATGAGCTGGAATCTGAGAAGAGCTCCCACTCAGACCGAGGCCGGGAGATCCGGGGCCTGGAGGTGAGACCGCTGCGGTCAAAGGTCGTGACAGGTGGAGTCTAAAGTTAGATGGGAGTAAATCAGGATTGTGGGACAAATGGTGTTCACCTCTAAAATAATAGGGTGTGTGAGACAGAGGTGGGACCAAGTCAGGGTTTTGCAAGTCTCAAGTCTTTGTCCTCAAGTCCTGAGTCTGAAACTTGGAATTTCAAGTCCTTTTGACTTTTTTTTTTAACAATGTTGCAATTATTTGTTAAATGTAAGTAAGTAGTAGCATCAACGTAGCCTGAAGTACACTTGCTAATAACACGAAGTCAGCTAATGTCTGCTATCTCTTAGCAAAAGAAAAGTACTGCTTACCGTTCTTTGTGCAACTTAAAATGTGGAACAAAGTTGGAAGCTGTTGCATCTCCATCTGAGATCCTCTTCTTGCAGGTTTTGCATGTTGTACTCGGTTTTTAGGTGGATACGTCATAATTCATGTACCCAGAAGAAATTACTCACGGGAGCTCATCTGCTCTGAGTGTTTTTCTTTGTTTTGTTTTGTTTTTTAAATCTCATTAACTTGATTTGTTGTGCTGCAGCTTATCCACACATAGATACGGAGTGCGGAAAAACAGAGGGACGGTCTCCGTCTGTTAATAGGGAATGAGTGAAATTAATTAATAGGGGCCCACTTTAAAAACAATATTTGTTTTAAGCTTTAGAGTTTGGGCAAAATATCAAGTCTTTTCAAGTAAACAGATACAAGTCCAATTGAAGTCCCAAGTCATTGGTGTAAAAGTGAAAGTTGGGTGTAAAGTCTTAATATTAATGACTCCAGTCCAAGTCATGTGTCTCGAGTCTCCACCTCTGGTGTGGGATGAA